CTATTTTCCATTGATCCTCCTCCTTTTCCTCTCTTTCATTCTTCCTTCAACACTCAAATTTCAAATGTGACTTCCTTTTATTTTTATTTATTTTTTGGTACTGAGGATGGAAGCCTGAGGCACACAACCATTGAGACACATCCCCGGCCCTTTTTTTGGTATTTTATTTAGAGACAGTCTCACTGAGTTGCTTAGGACGTCGCTAAGTGGCTGAAGCTGGCTTTGAATTCACAGTCCTCCTGTCTCAGCCTCCTGTCAAATGTGACATCTTTATTCTGTGACTTTAATTTATTTGCTGTTTGATCATATCTCTAGTATGCTCTGCACTCATCCTCTTCAAACTGCTTTCGCCAACGTTTCCAAAGGTTAGGCAACTGAACAATCTTGAGTTTTCTAAGTTTTTCTTTATATTTTCACATCACTTTACATTATCAGTAGTGAAGGAGATTACAGAAAAAGGGATATACTCTGTAGTTTGGTGGTAAAATGTTGCATACCCAGTTCTCCAAGAGGGAAATGCTCTCATTTATAGCTTTTGCTAATTTCCATGGCTTGACTACTCCCAACATGGGTGATTTAGGCCTAACAATGTGATGTCACATGGAGTTGGGGGATATGTGAGTGATGAGTCATGGGGAGCTTGTGTGAACTGGTTCTTGTAAATCATTGGATATCCTCCTTGGGATTCTGTTAGTTGCTGCGTTTTGCAACATGAAAGACCTGACATCATTTTCCATCACTCCAATTCTAGCCTCTCACCATTGTTCTCTTGCTTTCTGTGTCTTATGGTATCCACTAACTATAGACTTGGTTAGGCTTAGAAGTTTCATCCCTTTATTTTCTTGTTTGGTGTGTCCCTCTGCTTGCACACTTTTCTCCATTCCTGTAGCATGATGGATGATAACCTCCACAGAGCAGTCAAAGGTTTATTTCCCCATTCTAATTTCTTATCATATAACTTCCCTCCATTGTCTCACATTCAATAAGGGTAATACTAGGCTTCAACAGATAAGAAGCCCCCACTAAAGCATATTCACTTTCTTCCACATCTTATTAGAAAGCATTAAATTCAAACCACATGTTTTAGTCAGTTTTTTTTTTCTGCTATGACTAAAAGACCTGACCAGGACAATTATAGAGGAGTAAAAGTTTACTTGGTGGCTCAGAGGTTCAGAGGTCTCAGTCCACAGATGGCCAGCTTTATTTCTCAGGGCTTGAGGTAAGGCTGACCATCATGGCAGAAGAGAGTAGTAGAGGGGAACGTCTCACATGATGATCAGAAAATAGAGAAAAAGACTGCGTTTTCCAGATATCAAATATATACCCCAAAGGCACGCCTCCAATGACCCTCTTCCTCCAGCCATACCCTACCCACCTTCAGTTATCACTCAGTTAATCCCATCAGGGGATTCATTCAGTGACTCGGTTAAGGCCCCATAACTCAACCATTTCTCCTTTGAACATTCTTGCATTCTCTCACACATAAGATTTTTGGGGACACCTCACACCCAAACCATAACACCATATATCAGAAACTTTATGAATTGTCTTCATGTGAACATAAGACATGGGGATTATTATTCATATTTTATGGATTTAATAAATTCAAAGCTCAATTAATTTGATTAATTAATTCAAGTTAACCCATCCCATAAGCAGTGGAACTCAGATGCAGTTACAAGATCCATACCAAAACCTATATTTATTTCCATTGCAACATCTTGTCTCTCAGCCAATGGGATGGTCTTCTTTTTTCTCCCATTAATTTTAAAATTATAGTAATTCTTTAGTTTTTTCTAACTGTTGTTGACTACCAAGTCTTGTCTGTCCTCCCACTGAGTCAGTGTTTGTGCAAGTATCTGCCTCTCTCCTATGATATAAGCTTCTAAAAGCAAGAGCCATGCCTTAGTCATCATTTTATTCCTTGCTGTAACAAGATTCTTTGTACTGCTAAGAACTCAATCTTGATTTAATAAGTAAACTAACTAATGAACAGTGACTTTGAACAGTATTTTGAATATTTTTTTGCTGTATTTGTACTGTGAGAGCATTTCTTTTTTTAATTTCTTTTTTTATTCATTTTTTAAAAAAATAAATGACAGTGGAATGCATTACAATTCTTATTGCACATATACAGCACAATTTTTCATATCTCTGGTTGTCCATAAAGTATGTTGACACCAATTCATATCTTCGTACATGTACTTTGGATAATGAGTCCATCACATTCCACCATCCTTGCTAACTCCCTCTCCCTTCCCTTTCCCTCCCACCCTTCTCCCCTATCTAGAATTCATCTATTCCTCCCATGATCCCCCTCCCTACCTGGCTATGAATTTTTTTTGGGGGGATTGGCTAAATTCACTTAGCATTATCTTCTCCAATGCCATCAATTTACCTGAAAAAAAATATGGAACCTTAATGAATTTGTGTGTCATCCTTGCTCAGGGGCTATGAGAGCATTTCTGTGTTATCTGTGTTGACAGTTATCATTGATTTTTATATATGGCAGATCAGATTTTACACTGAAGAAATAGGCAGGTTTAGTTTGCTGCAGTGAGCAACAAAAATCATATGCAAAATATACTCATATTTTAGTACCAATTATGAAGTTTACCAATGCCTGAGTGTTTTCGTCCCAAAGCTATTGTTCCCATTTCTAAACAGATTATGGTTTAGACTCCAGGGGATTTCACATGATTTTAGGGAAATGCCCCTCCTTGCATTTCTAACTAATCCAGGAGACTCCTAGGAAATCTCTTTATAGTTTCAGAAGTATTAATTAGGGTTCAGAACTCAGCAATCTATCCAAATGTTTCTGAACTGCAAGAGCTGAGTGCATGTTCTGCGATTAGTACAAATTGGCAAATGCGAGGGGTTTATATAGATAGCACTCTGCCTAAGTGACTAAGTAGATGTATCATTGGATCTCTCCTGAATCTGTAGCTTCTAATTTATGCATCACCTGGGTGTATTTCCTACTCCCAGCATCACTGAGAAGATGCTTCATGATTGAGTGTGCCTCAGGGCTTTTCTATACATAGCAATTCATAGTGCTGCAGCAAGATTTTCTAGCTAGGAAAGTCAGAGAGGCCATTTTGACCATTTCTAACTACAAAGATACTTAAATTCTCACAGCAGTGATCAACCCCAAAATTACCCATTTGCAATTTTTAAAATACATCTACTTTCTGCTATATTTTATGCTAATCTCCTTTGCTGACACCTTGTTACCAAAAAGTTCTCAGTTATAATTTATCATAAATATTTCCAAATGCATCACTGATCAGGTTCAATAACAAAGGGACTTAGAACAGTCTTAGAAGGCATTAGTTGTAAATACATTATTTTCAACAATACATGACAAATTGAAAAATGATGTACCACGTAGAGCATCAGAGGCTTTTAAGTGAATGCAATGTAGAATATAGGTTCTAGAGATTTTTATCGGCAGGATAAACCCACTACAGAATAATCTATTTATCTAGCATTTCCTTTCATCTGAGCAGTCACAGTGAAGACTGAATCTAACAAAAAGGTTCTATTAATATGTTTCAGTTTATCTTCCATTGATGATCTGCAAGTGATGACCTATACTTTGAGAAGTTTGATTTCAATGTAAGTCTTCAGATAAATAAGTGACAGGGTAGCCCACTCATAGTCTGTCAGTGGTGAAAGGTACAATTCTTTATTAATACGTTTGGTGAGAGTAAAACTTGATGAGGGTAAATCTGAGATTTTTTTTTTGCTATATCATAGACCTTGCTATGATATAACCTTGGCAATTATTTTTTCTTCTCTTATTTTGCAGAATTGAGCTTTGTCAAGAGAGGTGGGCATATGGGTGTTCATGACACTCTCAACAAATAGTATCAAATTATACTTTGAGACTTTATATGGATTGAACCAAAATAGAATGGAACTTCTTATTTAGGCTTTTAATTGTTTTCACTTCAATTGTAGATTATATGGTGATATTGAAGGAAAGAGAAAAATGACATCTCAAAGTCCCACTTCATGTGATATTACTGTTAATGGATACTATTTTTAGAGGGCAATTCTACATAATATTTAGTTCAGTCTGTGTTCCTACGTTTTTCAAGTGATAGAATCATAACTGAATTAGTTTAGTGAGCCCAAATAAGTAGTGAGTAATGAAGTTTACATTCCAAATATTCCAATCGTAAGTGCACGGTTCATTGTGTCATTTTTCTGTTTTGTCATTACACTGTGTGTATGTGTGTGTCTATGTGTGTATGCATTCTTCCATTTGCCTTATTTGATCTGCCTTTGTCTCTATTCTCTCTGAGCCTGGTTGCCTTGGTTACCATTACATATGCACTTGTATGTGAAGTATTCCTTTGACGTACATTTATTTCTATGGAAACAATGACATCATTGATGTGGGCAGGTGCTTAGAGAAAGCAAAGTGAAGAAGCATTGAATATTGGTCTTTCTTTGGTCATAAAATGTAACATTGAAGCAATTTTTGAGCTAAAGAGCTATTTTTTGCTTTCATTTTGATTTGATCATGAAGCTACAAATTTTCTTGCTTATAGACTTGCTTGAATAAAATGAATTAGAGCTGTAAAATACGTTATAGAAGTCATTATATGTAGTGTCATAAAATTCACCACATATACATATAATAATAAGAGTCATTTATTTAACCTTAAGAGTTTATGGTAGTAACATTTGTTATTGTCAAAAAATTGTGCAAGGAGTTTTATCTTAACATCAAAGCAAAGAGCAATAAGATGATGCATCAAGAAAAAAAAAACATACTTATAGTCACTATTTTAAAAATCTTTAGCTTTAGAAACAGGAATATAACAAAGAACTGATGGTTATTAAACCCTCTTTCTTATGACATCAAATAAGTCCGTGTATAATTGGCATTCCATGTTAAGTCTTAAGAGGTCTTAAACCTTTTTAAAAGGCTTGTATTTTCCTGTCTGTTTTATTTCCATGCTATTCAAGTTTATTTTTTCCCTTTGTAGATGATGTGGAAACCTGCCTATGATTTTCTCTATAATTGGAGTGCTCACTATGGAAATAGCTACAGAGATGTTTTACAAGACCTTCAATCAGCTTTGGACAGAATGAAAAACCCTGTAACCAAACAGTGGAGAGACTTAACTGGAGCTTTACTACTAGTAAATTCTTTGGAGATTTTGAGAGTAACTGCATTCTCTACTTCTGAGGATGTATAGGAATAGGGTGTGCTTTTTGGGAAAGGGAGAATGGTAGGGAGAGAGGTGTGAGTGTGTGTGTGTGGTGTGTGTGTGTGCGTGTGTGTGTTTAAGAGAGGAAAAATATCTCAGAAAAATTACTTATTTTCTTAATGTTTGAAAAACTGCTTTTTACCTGGTCAAAGTAAGCCTACTGTTTTATCCAAGATTGGGTTTTATAATCAAACATGTTTTTCTATTTCAGAAGCAAACATTAGGCTGCTTTGTTGTTAAGAAAAAAAAAAGAAAAGCCCTTTCTCTCTCCTTCAAAGTTATTTCAATTTTCTGAAGTTAAATGACTGCTAGAATAATAAAATTGCACAGATATCAGAATAAACTAGAAGCTCAACATAAGCAATTGGATTTTTGCTGGAGGTGAGGGCAGAGAAGGAACAAAATGACACTCAGTGGCCAGGAACAGGGATCCCCTCCTTCTATGACACATGGCTGATTTCTTATGTTCCTGAGTGAAGTTTTCCAGCATTACTCCAGCATTTCTAACGTGGAGAAACCAAGGACTGAAGAGGACACTCAAAGCCAGTATAAAGTTTTCTGCTTGAAAACCTGGTTCTGTTTTTAAGATGTTCATACCACATAACTGAATACTTAAAAAAAAAAAAAAGAAAGAAAGAAACTGCATACAAAGCTTACAGGGAAATGATAGCCATCTCATTGTAATGAAACTTGTTTTTTGTTTTTTTTTTTTTTTCCCATCTCTTTGCAAGACTGCCAGAAGGAAAACATGACTTATCATCACAAATCTGTGTCTGCAGATGCAGACTAGACCTGGTGTTTTCATCAGCCTCCTTCAGCATGTTGGGTGATAGCTAATCCTACCTAAGTCAGACTTTTTCTGCAGGATCCTAACGTAAAGTAGTTCTATACCTTTCAGGGATTTTTAATAACAAGAGTTATTAAAAAGAGCCACCATCAAAACCCAAATTAATCACTGTTGCATACAGCAGTTTTAACCACCCATAATATTAATATCATTGTATGCTTGCTCACAAAAATACATGTGTGTGCATGTGCATGTGAGAGTACACCAGCATGTTTTTCAATGCTCTTGGAGAACAAATATAAGAACTACGGCCTGTGAAACTGTTAATAGCCATCAGAGTTCACAAAAAGGTGGTTTGTACTTACTCATATGTTCCGTCCTCTGGTGCCCTGTGAGTGTTTGTGTTGGGACAGTCATTCACATATTGTTATTCAATGTGTACCTATCTGTGGCAGGCACCTAGATGCTTGAGGTTAGTAATGTGCAGAAAACATGATCCCTGACTTCTGTGATGGTAAGCGACAGTAACAGATCATAAAATTTGATACCATTAAATGTTAAGTGGTATCTATAGTGAAAGCTGCATTGGAGAGGCTGTGATGCTAAGAGATACAGAGGTCCAAGGCCATCGTATAAATGGAGTGGATATTTGATAAGTTTTCCCTGGGAAAGAAATGATGCTCCTGAAGGAGGACCAGGCATTGCACCTGATGTTGGGAAGGTGCTGGAACTCACTTAAGCCCCTAGACAGGAGAGAGCTCAGGAGCTCAGGGAGCCAGCTGAGGGAGTAGAGTTTGGAGGCCACATTAAGGCCATTAAGACTGCTAGCATTTTGGGAGGAGAAAACACACCCTTAAAGGTAATGTGGATGAGCTAAATAAGGGTTTTGTTTTAGGATCCTGGATAAAACATTGTCCATTTGGGCTAAAAAAGTGAAAGTAAAATCTGTGTAGAGCTTTTAATCCACCCACCCTAAGGTACTTGAATTATAAAGGTAATTAGAATTTAAGAACAGTCCTTAAGACTTTCAGTATTTATATTTGATGGAGAATGCATCTTAACCAAGGAGTCATGTATACACATTCTAGGACAGAATTCATTTAATTGAAAATAAATTAAGGAAGAAGGAAAAACAACTGATTTGTAAATTCGGGACCCCATCATTCTTAGTGATGATCTTGCTTTGTTCAGAACATTCTTGGAATCTTATTAACATGTCAGCAAATCAGTGAGTTTTGGGAAGGGATATTAAGGGATTAATAACTGGGTTTTTCCAGGCTACAAGATTCGAGAACATAGAGATCTTGTTAGCTGATTAGGGTAGTACAATTAAATAAACAATTTCAGATTATACCTCATCATGTTTTAAGATTGTGGTTGGGAATTTTAAAGAGAGTTTTAAAAACTAGAAAAATATCACCTCTGTAATTAGAGGTTGAAACAATGACTTAAATAATAATAAATACAAAGATATTTTATAATCTTTCATTAAATTCTTCCAGGGGAATTTTAAGTCCATGTTCAAACATTGTTATAAATTCTAATATTTTTAACACATTATTTTACTTTTCTGATTTATATTTTTCTTGCAGTTATGGATTTTCTTAATCAGAAATGATTAAATTAGTGATCAGAAATTATCTTTGATATTTGGCATACAATCCATGAAATTTATAAGGAACTTACATCCTATTCTTCACATCATTAAAAGCATCAAAAGCTATTAATCCAACACTACTTAGAGCATTTCAAAAGTGGAAAAAGATTGAATGATTTGTTCAGTTCCTCAGGCTTTTGGTCTAATGATACATGAAGTAGGATGAGTTTTATTTCAGTCCCTAGCTTGCAATATGAGTTTTTTTAAATTTAAGCCATAGAACCTCTGCTTTTTTCTGTGAAAATCTTCATATAAAACAGTAAGATTCATTCAACAGTGTGTCATTAACAGTTCATACTAATAATGGATATAGCACACTTTCACGTCCTATATTATAGAGGCTACTATATAAGTTTTTGAACATGGGATGCCTAGATTTCAGGAAGGAGCAGAATACTAAATCAATGGATAGCATTGGGCTGAAAAATGCTAATGCTAGTAAACAGCAATGAATATGTGATGTGAACCTACAACAGAAAAACACGAGATTGGACAGTGCCATATGTGGAAGTTTCAAAACTTCAATTTTCATACTTCGTTACCATGAATGATACTCTTAGCAATTTTTAATGTTTAGGGAATATTTTAGGCAATATAAAATGAGAATTATAAAATATGTGACTGGATGTTTTTCTAACTAATATAGATCTTTTATATATATATATATATATATATATATATATATATATATATATATATATATACATGCATGATTCCTTATTTTATATGTGTTTTCTCCCATATGCTGCTGTCTGGCATAGTGGAGTAAAGCAGAATCATATAACCCAAAGATTAAGTACCACAATCATGGTAGGTGACAAAATCCAAAGACATTTTGAAAATTAAACAGAATGTTAGAGATGATTTCTTGCATGCCTACTTACCAATCTGCAGCACAAAATAAATAGTGACTATAAACAGGAAACTTAAACTTGAACATACCATCTGATATATAGCTGGTATTCAGCATCAAGATTTCATCAAGTGTTTTGAAATATAGTATATTTTACATTAACTTTCTGTTTATGTATATGCAGAAAGTTTTAAGCCTAATAAACAGTTTCACAATTTGGAAAATAGTGTCAGCTTATATAGAAGGGAATAGGGATGGAGAGATTTGAACTGGATAAAAATTTGTAATACCAAAGAAAATAATTCCAGGGCCAAGCACCCTTGGACAGCACAAATTGCTTCCCCTGCAATACATTAGTCCAGAAAATGAGGGCTGTGGTTTCTAATCTTTGCCCATTAGTCCCAGTAAGGGTTTAGAACTGTCACTTAGCCTCTTGGGCTTCAATTCTCTGATTAGTAAAAAGAGGAGTTTGAATGGGGAAACTCCTCAAGTTCCCTGTAAGTGTCTATGAATGTAGATACTTATAAGCAGAATATATTGTGGTTTTGTTTGTTCATTTCAATAAGTGGGAAGAAAATGTGAAGTAAGAATAATAATTTGAATAAAAGTTATCCACTTTAAAAGTGTCCTCTATTTGCAAGGCATAGCACCTTACATATACATAAACTGAGCACTTTACAAATATTATCTCATTTTTTCTTCATATAATCTTATGAAATGTGTACTATTTTCAATATTTAGAATCACTATTTTTAAGAATAATTTAATACTACTCAAACTACAGTACTAAGTTGGAAGGTCAGCAATAGTTCTTCCAGTAGGTACTCTGCCAAATATGTTTCTGTCTCATTGCAAAGGCCTTAGACCAATCCTTAAAGGCAAGAGTTTTTCAACTTGAGCAGAATCACCTGAAGGGCTTGTTGAGACCCGACTTCTTGGCTCCAACACCAACTTTTAGCAGGTTTGAGGTGAGACCTTTGCTTACCCAGTAGTTTCCCTTGTGATGCAGATTCTGCCAGTTCAGGGAATCTACTCTGAGAACCACTATTTCAAAGTTTCTTTCATCTATACAGAAACTAAATAATGTTTGTTAGATTAAAAAGATTTAGATAAGCAAAATTTTCATGTCATTCTGTTAAATAAGTTGTTAAAATTGTAGAAGAGAACTAAAAATCAATTTAAATAATATATTTATTTACTTAAAATAAACTTTTGTCATCAGTTGATAATAGAAGCATAAAAATAATTTTAATTATAAAACTAAATAATTAAGATCTGTGTCTCATTTAAAATATTAGTATGTTTGAATAAAAATATTTGATCATTTAGGACATTTATTCAGTATATTAAGATAATTTTGATAAATGTATGTAATTTGTTCTATAAAATTTCCTTAGAGAAATATTGTCCTTACTGACTGATCATTTGTTAATGTTGTTGTTAACTTTATTTTACCTTATTGAAAAAATATTTTCAACTAATTGGATGAATACAACTATTTCTATACCCTACTTTTGTTGTAGAACTACAAAATTATTTAATAATCATTTGTTTATAAGGTAGCTAGATACTCTCTTCCCATCAAGAATTCCACATTTAAAGAGATAGTGACTAAGAAGGGGGTAACAAATTGAATGTTGACATAATATATCAAATTTCATCCTCTGCCATCATTTCTTATTCTTTGGTGGCTGATGGGGAGAATCTCTA